AGAATCATACTTGCCAATAGGTGCTACTTTGGTCTGAGTAAGCAAATGTCCAATAGAGACCTCTCTCGCCGTACAAAATTAACACTCTACAAGACACTTATCCTACCCGTGCTATTATATGGCGCAGAAGCATGGGAAATGTCATTGACGGATGCAGCAGCGCTTGGAGTGTTCGAGAGAAAATTTCAGATTGGAGGAGGCGCGCGAGGAGCAGAGGCGCCTGGAGGGAGACGTTGAGGTCGGCCAAAACCCGAATCTGGTTGTAGTGCCACCTAATAATAATAACTGGAACCAAAAATATAACCGCTGATACAGCGAAAGTGAAGTTATCGTCTACTACAAACTAAGAAAAATGGACTCGATTTGCAGTCATTTTCACGCACTTGAATTCAATAATGAATCGGAAAGAATGTGCTGCGCAAGTGGCAAGGTTGGTTAGCCTGCTTTGCAACTTCCACCAGAGCCATTGTGATCAATAGTCTCTGGTTCCACACCAGAGTCCAATCACTTCTTAAAAAATATCCAGATCCAAATTACGTCTTTTGGCGCGACAAATAGAATAAGGGACAACTTCATTCACACTTTTAAGGTAATTTTATCATTTCATTAATACATTTAAATTTAATTTTTTTTTCTAGGAATTTAAAGTGTGATCTAATGTGATATTAAGAGTGAGTAATGCCAAGATCGGATGCCGTGAACTTGTTCGCGGATACATAACACCCGAAATAGAAACTAAAATTTTTTTTAAATTAAAATTTTTTCTGCTTGTGAGTCCGTTATAGCTGTTTCCTCTGGTTCAGGCGGATCTTGTGGTAAACGACCTTGAAGTTGATCCTGATGCTTCCTGATTATCGCCCAATAAAGGAATCACAGCCCGATTCCCCCATGCATCTTCCATTTTCTTTCCTTCTGGAAAGGGAGGGAGGATTCTCCCAACAGACTGCGATAGTCCGTTACTAGAATTAACGACCGGTCGTAAACGTAGTGGCAAGACTTAAATGCTGCTGCGATAAGCGTAAAGCGCGACAGTTATTTGGCGCATATCCTTAGAGAGTGTTCAATAGTTAAACGTAACGGTGTTCTCTGACTAAAGACTTCATCGAGTCCATAGTGTGTCGCGTCGAGTGAATCGTGTTGACCTAGCAGGGCGATTTATGTCACGAGACTTTTTAAATCACGGAATTCGAGGCGTTCTCTCGGTCAACACCAGTGTACATTTTTGTATAACATAAGGCAAGAAGACGTGGAAAAAATTAAATATCCACTAAAGATCATTTTTGTCTTTTGGTGATGGGGATTCTGAGCTCATTGAATCAATTTAAAATGCTAGCATCGGACGGATCATGTGCTAAATTAAGCTTTTTATTGATTTTCAATCCTACGACGTTTTTAGACTGTTGACACAACGCTTAGTCCTCTGATTGGGTGTTGTTACAATAGTCTACAACCGTTGTGGGATTGACAATCTGCCAATTAATAGCTCAAATTGACAAGAATTAATTTGGCTGTCATCCTTTGATAGTTGTTGAACTCTACGTTTCATTTGAACATGATAGGCTTTTTTCGGAAAAATGTGCTAAACGTCAAAATCTGAAAAACGTAAAAGGGCAAAAAAAATATTACCGTCACCTTTTTTTAGAATCAAATGCTCCGCTTATTGCGACGAAAACTCAATGGTTTGGGGGGTCCCCATATAAATTTATATGAAAGGGCTTCCGCTTAGTACGTTGTTTTTCCGCTATTAGCGACAAACCGCTTATACGAACGAAAATTTTCACATTTAAAAACTTTCGTATTGTCAACGTTTTCTTGACCAAATTTGTTGTTTTTTGTAAATTGAGAGAGTTAATGAGTTTTGTGTACTCTACTTACAAGTGCCTATCAACTCCTACATTTTTTTCATTTAAATTGTTTAACCGAAATAGATTATGGTTTTTTATATCCTTGCAGAGAAAGGGTATTATAATCAATTATCAATTATGGAACAATTAATATTCATTGTGATATAAAAGTCATTTTCAAACCCATGCACAGCATAAGGGTTAAACGACATCATCTTTTCCTGTTTCTTTCGCATTTACAGGAGAACACTCTTTCACTCGCACTCATTGTAGTTCCTAATAGAGGAGTGACGCTGGCGACGAGACTACCTTATACTTATTATGCCATGCATGGCACTGTGAACTTATACAAGGTAGTCTCATCGCCAGCAGAATTGTTCGGGTTTGCTCCCCTATTGCTACGAAAGAGGTTGTACGTGGACGATTTTTTCTCAATACGTTAGCCCTTGTGTGCTTATGAAAAAATACTTGTTGCAATTATTGCAGCAAGCACATAAAAGGCGTAACATTTACTATTGCAGAAAAATGTTTTAAGGGGTTATATCCAGTTGCAATTTTGAAAAAATCGAAATTTTTTTTTTTGCCAATTTTGAATGTTTATATATCTAAGAATATTGTCTGAAAATTTCACAGTATTCCGGTAAATAGTTTTGGAGTAATGAGTGTATTTATAAAGACGTCTCCCACGTAGTTCAACTAGTAGCCAAAACTTTAAATGCGTTTTTCTCGAAACGATGTCTTCAAAGTCGGTGAGGAAAATTTCTCCGAGACGGCTTGACCGATTGACTTGAAATTTTCACATTCTCTTCTTAGATATTTTTTTCAGGTAATGACACAGGGAATTTTGGCTCCGACAAAAATTTCGATTTTTTTTAGCCACTTCAAAGTTGAAATTTTTGTGCCAAAAACAAAGTTTTATGTTTGGAAAGCCGCCATTTTGTCAAAAATCAAAATTTTGAAAATCCCACGTGTCATTACCAGTATTTGTCTATTCTTTGCTTAATCCTTTTGGTTTTTTGTATTTCTGATAATTTGGATCAGAGATATCTTCCTCACCGCAAAACACCTTTTTTAAGTGGACCCTCAGAAGATCCTCTACAGGACCGACGGAGTCCAAAAATTTTTTTAATGTATTCTAAAACTAGAAAAAATTACCTATCTTTTCATATATAACACGTATACATACAATAAATAGCCTCTCCAAAAATAATTTTCAAAAAAGCTAATTTTTTTGGCCTCGCAACTGGATATAACCCCTTAAAGGGGGGACAATATAGGAGCGAATCCTGAGGAGCAGCTTTGGGCACAAACCAAAAATTACGGAACATTTAGTATTCATTATCATATAACAGTTCTTTCTAAACCCCCATGCACAGCATAAGGGTAAAACAACATCATCTTCTTCTGTTCCTTTCGCACTTATAAGAAAACATCCTCTCACTCGCACTCATTGTAGTGCCCAATAGGGGAGAGACGCGTGATCTTTCTCTCTCGATCTTTTTCACTTGCTTGCTCCCTATTCTCACTCCATCGCTAGTTGCTTCATGCTACTTTCGCCCTGTCGTACTCTCTCTCAATCGGTCTCGATCGCTCTCTCTCTCTTTCTTTTTCGTCACTTCCGTTGCATACTTGCGTGACGTTACCGTTACAATTGTAAAAATTTTACCCTCATGCGCCTAAAGAAGATTCACTTCAAAAATTTGATAAAAATCGAACTATGTACTACAGTCGAATCCCGATAATTCGTACCCCGCTAAATCGAAATTCGCGATAATTCGTAAAAAATTCTGTTCCCTTGAAAAAAAATCCCTTGAAAAAAATCTCGATAAATCGAATTCCTGTCTAATTCGTAAAAAAAGTGATCCCCTTGCCATTTCGAATTATCGGGGCTCGACTGTATATCATATAGCTCCCCATAGGAATGATCAAAAAATCTATATAGAAATAACGGAAATTAAATTATAACATCGTTTCTTTTCATCAGACAATCATGATTTTTGGTATATTAAGTTTTCTTATGAATTTTAATTAAATTTCATCAAAATCGGACAACTGTATCATATAGCTGCCATATGATCAATAGTCGAAAATATGGAAAATTAATAGAAAATTCGTCATAGCTTCGATGTTGTTAAGCCTTTATGTTTATAAGCTTCACCTCGCCGAAGCTAGCTTCCTTTCTTGTTCTTTAAAACTTCGTGCCGTTTAGGAATGTTTTTCTAGTTACTTTGACAAAGTTATCATATCAGGTCGAAATACAAGCATAGCTCACAAATATGTAACTGTTAACCGATTCGTGCGGCCTCAAAATAAGTGTTCTTCACTCAGACTTTGAGCAAAAAGTCTGAGAGCAACCGAATTGCTCGTATTTAACCGAAGAACAGTTTTTCTGTTCTTTCATTCTCGGACCGTTTGCCTACGAAACACGATTAAACATCTTTGCGCATGTATGTGTGAAGTTTCGTAGGTTCTACGCGTCACTTGGCTTTGTGAATCTCGATTGTGAACATTGATTATTCTAATTTATAAGAAATGGGACGTGAATGTAATAAAAAAGTGCATCAATTTTGTAAATTCTAATTCTTTATTAGTTGTTAAGCTAAACTCAAAATAAATTAATTTAAAAGAACACGATTCATTTTTTAATCATCACAATCAAAATATTAGCTTGAAATATGAAAAATTCATGTTCAAGAAGTTTCTTTCGTGAAAATTGAATGTTACAATATCACAGAACGTACAACGTACATACTCTGTGCAGCGAAACGAAGACAAAATATTGAAAAGACTTTTTCAGTCAATCGGTCACTCGTATCACTCATTGTGCGATGTTCAGTAAACAAGCGTTTCCCGATCAGCTCATCGTTATGCGCTCAACAGAAAATCAAAACAAATATAAGCAAAGTCTGCTGCTCGGAGAGCGAACGAGACTGCATGGTTGTTTTCCGTTGTTCTCGAGAACAGAGTGTAAGGAAAAAAACGTTTAACAGTTATTTGCGAGCTATGATTACAATACATTTTATTTGTTTTTTTTTTTTTTTTTAAATAAGTACAGTAACCTCACCAGAACAGTGACACTTAATGCTTAAGAGTTGGGTTTTTAATTAAAAGCTTAATCACGATAAGTGTTTATTATACATGGACGCGGTCACATACCTTGGGCATAGGTTGACTGATTAAGGAATAATGCCAGATGACAATAAATTTGAAGCGTTTAATAACTATCCAATACCAAAAGATGCGTATATAGCGCGACGATTCGTCGCATTCTGAAACGATGACGAAAAATTCGTTAAAAATGTTTCTTATTATTAAGATATTTATTTAAATTTTTTAAGAAAGATGTTATACACAAACAAGAAAGGAAGCTAGCTTCGGCAAGCCGAAGCTTATTTACCATTGTAGCCATCAAATATGTCGAACCAAATACTCGTACATAGAGGCTAAACAACATCGAAGCTATGTCGATTTTTCTATGAATGTCCGATTCTTATGAAATTTAATTCGAAATTTAAGTTATTAGAAAACAAGAAAGAGAGCTAGCTTCGGCAAGCCGAAGCTTATATACCCTTCAGTCATCAAATATGTCGAACAGAATGCATAAAGGCTGAACAACATCCAAAATTCATTCTTGTCTGATGAAAAACAACGATGTTATAATTTTATTTCCGTTATTTCTATGAAGATTTTTTGATCTATAAGATATAGTTGTCCGATTTTTATGAAACTTTTTTCTCAATATAAGAGTTCCTAAAAAACTTGATATTCAAAAAATCATGCTCGTGGGATAAAAAACAACGATGTTATTAATTTATTTCCATTAATTCTATATATATTTTTCGATCTTTCCCATGGCAGCTATATGATAGAGTTATCCGATTTTGATAAAATTTAATTCGAAATTCAATAACAATTCGAAAACGCTTTCTTGAACAAATCAAGTCGATCTGATCAAAAATGACGGCGTTAGAATTTTTTATTTCATATGGGAGCTATCCGATATAGTCGGCCGATCCGGCCCGTTCCGACTTATATAGTGCGTGCAATAACTACACACCTTTTGGTAAAGTTTCAGCAAGGTAGCTTTAAAACTGAGAGACTAGTTAGCGCGGGAACGGAAAGACGTACAGACGTATTCTGATTCTACTTGTGATGCTGATCAAGAATACTTTATGGGGTCTAAGGTCTCTCCTCACTGCATTGCAAACTTCTGACTGAAATTATAATACCCTTTTGCTCTGCAAGGGTATAAAAATCAAATTTTAAATATTCACTCTTACACACTTTGGGGGCTCCTTGGCCCCCAACGGCATATACGGCGGTAGCTACGCCCCTGATGGGGTCTGAGGTGTCTCCTTCACTGCGTTGCAAACTTCTGACTGAAATTATAATACCTTTTGCTCTGCAAGGGTATATTATATATTCTAAAATTTTTGATTGTCTTATGAAAAACAACGATGTTATCATTATTTCCAGTTCATTTTCGTTAATTCTATATAAATTTTTCGGTCTTTCCTATATGTTATAGTTGTCCGATTTTTATTAATTTTTTTGTCGATTCAAAGGTATTATGTTGTTTGGTAATGACATAACGGTTTTTACATTCAAAATTCACGCTTCGCTTGTGAAGTCAAATATAATCGTATCTGGCTGTATATCGTTTGAAAGGTATTGGCATCACCTTTAATATGACATATAGTTTGTTTACATGAGCTTCCACGTTAAAAAATTACAATCGATTGAAATGGAGTTCACAAACGCAGAAATTCGGGCAATTTTGAAATTTTATTTCGCACAGGGAAAAACTGCTGCGGAATCTCGCAGACAGATTATTGCTGTCTTAGGAGATAACAAACTTTCGATTCAAACCGCCGAACAGTAGTTTAGGTGATTCCGAAGTGTCAATTTTGATACCGAAACACACAAGCCCTCCAGACGACCAGTGACCGTTGATACGAATAAAATCATGGAAATAGTGGATCGAGATCGTCATGTGACTATTGGAACCATCGCAGAGGAGCTGCAACTAAGCACGGAAACAGTCCATAGGCATTTAAAGTCGAAAAATTTAACAAAAAAGCTGGATGTATGGGTGTCTCATGAGTTATCCCAAAGAAACCTTTTCGACCGTGTATCAATCTGCGAATCTTTGTTGCACCGTAATAAACTCATTTCTGGATCGGTTAGTCACTGGTGATGAAAAATGGATGACATATGACAACATAAAGCGTAAAAGATCCTGGTCGAAGCACGGTGAGTCGTCTTAAACGGTGGCAAAGCCAGGACTGACGGCTTCAGAGGAATTATCCATTATGAAGTGTTGGCCTATGGCCAAACCATCAATTCTGACCTCTACTGTGAACAACTGGAGCGATTGAAGATTGCACTTGAACAGAAGCGGCCAACCATGGTGAATCGTAAGGGCGTTGTGTTCCATCATGACAACGCCAGGCCCCATACATCTTTGGTGACGCGTCACAAGCTACGGGAGCTTGGTTGGGAAGTGTTAATGCATCCACCTTATAGTCCGGACATTGCCCCAAGCGATTACCATCTGTTTTTGGCCATGCAAAATTTTTTCGATGGACAAATATTGAGTTCAAGGGAGGATTGTACAAAATCTAATCGCCGAGTTTTTCGCCAGTAGGAACAAGGACTTCTTTAGGAGAGGGATATACAAGTTACCATCAAAATGGCAGAAAATCATCGAAGACAACGGTGCATATAGCACTTAAATCGGACAATGCTAACTATGTTAAAATCGTCCTCAAAAATCAATAAAGAAACCGATATGTCATTACCAAACAACCTTATATTTAAAAACTCAATGTTCTAAAGTTCAAGGTCGTGGGATAATAAACAAAGACGTTATAATTGTTTTCATTATTTATATATGGGTGATTCCATATCAGATTTACAGTCGATATTGGGAAATTCGATGAGATATTTTTTTTCATGCTCTTTATCGAAAATAAATCGACACGTATTTTTTTATATGGCTCAGAAAATTTTTTTGAAAAAGTTATGATTTTTTGAATTTTTGATGAACTGCCTTTTTATTGATGATAGTCGCGTTTTCCAGCCCCAATAACTCGATAACCGTACGTCGCAGAAAAAAAATCTATAGGAAGTAAAAATTTCAACCTTCCTTCTTCTTTGCAAAACTTTCGTGAAATAATTTTTCTAAACAATTTTTCACCACAAAAAGTTCAAATGTTTATAACAAATTAATTTTTCTCCAACTTGGACAATTTTGATTTTTTTTTTTTATCACAATAAATCCTTTAAATTCTTCTGATGGTATCAAAAGTAGATTTTGAGTTATAGAATTAAATAGCATTAAAAATTCATTTCATTGACCCTTACTATGCGCGCGCGAAGCGAATTGACGCTCGTTAGAGTCGTTGGTCGGCGCACGCCCTGAGACCGAGCGCGCGGACCGTGCATGATGATCTTGAATATTCTATAACTCAAAAACTAATTTTGATCAATCAATCAATAAAAAGGCAGTTCATCAAAAATTCAAAAAATCATAACTTTGTCAAAAAAAATTTTCTGAGCCATATAAAAAAATATTAGGTGCGCAACTAAGTTCCCGCTGTTTTTTCGATAAAAATGAAACTTTATATTAAAAAAACTTTAACATCTGAATCATTGAAAGTATTACCCATCGCTAGACACAACTTTTTCCCATTTTCTGGCAGAGCTTGTATACCTTGACGCCAGCAGTTTTCATTTTTTGAGTCTATCCACGAATCAAGCCATTTTTTTATGTCTTCATATGAGTTTAACTGCCGATCAGCCAGGCCTTGTGCCATCGAATGGAACAAGTAAAAATCAGACGGCGCAATATCTGGGGAATACAGCGGGTGGGGTAGGACTTGCCATTTGAGCGTTCCCAAGTAGGTTTTAACAAGCTTGGCAACGTGATGCCGAGCGTTGTCATGCAGTAAAATCACTTTTTCGTGCCTCTGCTCGTATTGTCAAAAATCAAAATTTTGAAAATCCCACGTGTCATTACCAGTATTTGTCTATTCTTTGCTTAATCCTTTTGGTTTTTTGTATTTCTGATAATTTGGATCAGAGATATCTTCCTCACCGCAAAACACCTTTTTTAAGTGGACCCTCAGAAGATCCTCTACAGGACCGACGGAGTCCAAAAATTTTTTTTAATGTATTCTAAAACTAGAAAAAATTACCTATCTTTTCATATATAACACGTATACATACAATAAATAGCCTCTCCAAAAATAATTTTCAAAAAAGCTAATTTTTTTGGCCTCGCAACTGGATATAACCCCTTAAAGGGGGGACAATATAGGAGCGAATCCTGAGGAGCAGCTTTGGGCACAAACCAAAAATTACGGAACATTTAGTATTCATTATCATATAACAGTTCTTTCTAAACCCCCATGCACAGCATAAGGGTAAAACAACATCATCTTCTTCTGTTCCTTTCGCACTTATAAGAAAACATCCTCTCACTCGCACTCATTGTAGTGCCCAATAGGGGAGAGACGCGTGATCTTTCTCTCTCGATCTTTTTCACTTGCTTGCTCCCTATTCTCACTCCATCGCTAGTTGCTTCATGCTACTTTCGCCCTGTCGTACTCTCTCTCAATCGGTCTCGATCGCTCTCTCTCTCTTTCTTTTTCGTCACTTCCGTTGCATACTTGCGTGACGTTACCGTTACAATTGTAAAAATTTTACCCTCATGCGCCTAAAGAAGATTCACTTCAAAAATTTGATAAAAATCGAACTATGTACTACAGTCGAATCCCGATAATTCGTACCCCGCTAAATCGAAATTCGCGATAATTCGTAAAAAATTCTGTTCCCTTGAAAAAAAATCCCTTGAAAAAAAATCCCTTGAAAAAAATCTCGATAAATCGAATTCCTGTCTAATTCGTAAAAAAAGTGATCCCCTTGCCATTTCGAATTATCGGGGCTCGACTGTATATCATATAGCTCCCCATAGGAATGATCAAAAAATCTATATAGAAATAACGGAAATTAAATTATAACATCGTTTCTTTTCATCAGACAATCATGATTTTTGGTATATTAAGTTTTCTAATGAATTTTAATTAAATTTCATCAAAATCGGACAACTGTATCATATAGCTGCCATATGATCAATAGTCGAAAATATGGAAAATTAATAGAAAATTCGTCATAGCTTCGATGTTGTTAAGCCTTTATGTTTATAAGCTTCACCTCGCCGAAGCTAGCTTCCTTTCTTGTTCTTTAAAACTTCGTGCCGTTTAGGAATGTTTTTCTAGTTACTTTGACAAAGTTATCATATCAGGTCGAAATACAAGCATAGCTCACAAATATGTAACTGTTAACCGATTCGTGCGGCCTCAAAATAAGTGTTCTTCACTCAGACTTTGAGCAAAAAGTCTGAGAGCAACCGAATTGCTCGTATTTAACCGAAGAACAGTTTTTCTGTTCTTTCATTCTCGGACCGTTTGCCTACGAAACACGATTAAAAATCTTTGCGCATGTATGTGTGAAGTTTCGTAGGTTCTACGCGTCACTTGGCTTTGTGAATCTCGATTGTGAACATTGATTATTCTAATTTATAAGAAATGGGACGTGAATGTAATAAAAAAGTGCATCAATTTTGTAAATTCTAATTCTTTATTAGTTGTTAAGCTAAACTCAAAATAAATTAATTTAAAAGAACACGATTCATTTTTTAATCATCACAATCAAAATATTAGCTTGAAATATGAAAAATTCATGTTCAAGAAGTTTCTTTCGTGAAAATTGAATGTTACAATATCACAGAACGTACAACGTACATACTCTGTGCAGCGAAACGAAGACAAAATATTGAAAAGACTTTCTTCGGTGACTTTTTCAGTCAATCGGTCACTCGTATCACTCATTGTGCGATGTTCAGTAAACAAGCGTTTCCCGATCAGCTCATCGTTATGCGCTCAACAGAAAATCAAAACAAATATAAGCAAAGTCTGCTGCTCGGAGAGTGAACGAGACTGCATGGTTGTTTTCCGTTGTTCTCGAGAACAGAGTGTAAGGAAAAAAACGTTTAACAGTTATTTGCGAGCTATGATTACAATACATTTTATTTGTTTTTTTTTTTTTTTTAAATAAGTACAGTAACCTCACCAGAACAGTGACACTTAATGCTTAAGAGTTGGGTTTTTAATTAAAAGCTTAATCACGATAAGTGTTTATTATACATGGACGCGGTCACATACCTTGGGCATAGGTTGACTGATTAAGGAATAATGCCAGATGACAATAAATTTGAAGCGTTTAATAACTATCCAATACCAAAAGATGCGTATATAGCGCGACGATTCGTCGCATTCTGAAACGATGACGAAAAATTCGTTAAAAATGTTTCTTATTATTAAGATATTTATTTAAATTTTTTAAGAAAGATGTTATACACAAACAAGAAAGGAAGCTAGCTTCGGCAAGCCGAAGCTTATTTACCATTGTAGCCATCAAATATGTCGAACCAAATACTCGTACATAGAGGCTAAACAACATCGAAGCTATGTCGATTTTTCTATGAATGTCCGATTCTTATGAAATTTAATTCGAAATTTAAGTTATTAGAAAACAAGAAAGAGAGCTAGCTTCGGCAAGCCGAAGCTTATATACCCTTCAGTCATCAAATATGTCGAACAGAATGCATAAAGGCTGAACAACATCCAAAATTCATTCTTGTCTGATGAAAAACAACGATGTTATAATTTTATTTCCGTTATTTCTATGAAGATTTTTTGATCTATAAGATATAGTTGTCCGATTTTTATGAAACTTTTTTCTCAATATAAGAGTTCCTAAAAAACTTGATATTCAAAAAATCATGCTCGTGGGATAAAAAACAACGATGTTATTAATTTATTTCCATTTATTCTATATATATTTTTCGATCTTTCCCATGGCAGCTATATGATAGAGTTATCCGATTTTGATAAAATTTAATTCGAAATTCAATAACAATTCGAAAACGCTTTCTTGAACAAATCAAGTCGATCTGATCAAAAATGACGGCGTTAGAATTTTTTGTTTCATATGGGAGCTATCCGATATAGTCGGCCGATCCGGCCCGTTCCGACTTATATAGTGCGTGCAATAACTACACACCTTTTGGTAAAGTTTCAGCAAGGTAGCTTTAAAACTGAGAGACTAGTTAGCGCGGGAACGGAAAGACGTACAGACGTATTCTGATTCTACTTGTGATGCTGATCAAGAATACTTTATGGGGTCTAAGGTCTCTCCTCACTGCATTGCAAACTTCTGACTGAAATTATAATACCCTTTTGCTCTGCAAGGGTATAAAAATCAAATTTTAAATATTCACTCTTACACACTTTGGGGGCTCCTTGGCCCCCAACGGCATATACGGCGGTAGCTACGCCCCTGATGGGGTCTGAGGTGTCTCCTTCACTGCGTTGCAAACTTCTGACTGAAATTATAATACCTTTTGCTCTGCAAGGGTATATTATATATTCTAAAATTTTTGATTGTCTTATGAAAAACAACGATGTTATCATTATTTCCAGTTCATTTTCGTTAATTCTATATAAATTTTTCGGTCTTTCCTATATGTTATAGTTGTCCGATTTTTATTAATTTTTTTGTCGATTCAAAGGTATTATGTTGTTTGGTAATGACATAACGGTTTTTACATTCAAAATTCACGCTTCGCTTGTGAAGTCAAATATAATCGTATCTGGCTGTATATCGTTTGAAAGGTATTGGCATCACCTTTAATATGACATATAGTTTGTTTACATGAGCTTCCACGTTAAAAAATTACAATCAATTGAAATGGAGTTCACAAACGCAGAAATTCGGGCAATTTTGAAATTTTATTTCGCACAGGGAAAAACTGCTGCGGAATCTCGCAGACAGATTATTGCTGTCTTAGGAGATAACAAACTTTCGATTCAAACCGCCGAACAGTAGTTTAGGTGATTCCGAAGTGTCAATTTTGATACCGAAACACACAAGCCCTCCAGACGACCAGTGACCGTTGATACGAATAAAATCATGGAAATAGTGGATCGAGATCGTCATGTGACTATTGGAACCATCGCAGAGGAGCTGCAACTAAGCACGGAAACAGTCCATAGGCATTTAAAGTCGAAAAATTTAACAAAAAAGCTGGATGTATGGGTGTCTCATGAGTTATCCCAAAGAAACCTTTTCGACCGTGTATCAATCTGCGAATCTTTGTTGCACCGTAATAAACTCATTTCTGGATCGGTTAGTCACTGGTGATGAAAAATGGATGACATATGACAACATAAAGCGTAAAAGATCCTGGTCGAAGCACGGTGAGTCGTCTTAAACGGTGGCAAAGCCAGGACTGACGGCTTCAGAGGAATTATCCATTATGAAGTGTTGGCCTATGGCCAAACCATCAATTCTGACCTCTACTGTGAACAACTGGAGCGATTGAAGATTGCACTTGAACAGAAGCGGCCAACCATGGTGAATCGTAAGGGCGTTGTGTTCCATCATGACAACGCCAGGCCCCATACATCTTTGGTGACGCGTCACAAGCTACGGGAGCTTGGTTGGGAAGTGTTAATGCATCCACCTTATAGTCCGGACATTGCCCCAAGCGATTACCATCTGTTTTTGGCCATGCAAAATTTTTTCGATGGACAAATTTTGAGTTCAAGGGAGGATTGTGAAAATCTAATCGCCGAGTTTTTCGCCAGTAGGAACAAGGACTTCTTTAGGAGAGGGATATACAAGTTACCATCAAAATGGCAGAAAATCATCGAAGACAACGGTGCATATAGCACTTAAATCGGACAATGCTAACTATGTTAAAATCGTCCTCAAAAATCAATAAAGAAACCGATATGTCATTACCAAACAACCTTATATTTAAAAACTCAATGTTCTAAAGTTCAAGGTCGTGGGATAATAAACAAAGACGTTATAATTGTTTTCATTATTTATATATGGGTGATTCCATATCAGATTTACAGTCGATATTGGGAAATTCGATGAGATATTTTTTTTCATGCTTTTTATCGAAAATAAATCGACACGTATTTTTTTATATGGCTCAGAAAATTTTTTTGAAAAAGTTATGATTTTTTGAATTTTTGATGAACTGCCTTTTTATTGATGATAGTCGCGTTTTCCAGCCCCAATAACTCGATAACCGTACGTCGCAGAAAAAAAATCTACAGGAAATAAAAATTTCAACCTTCCTTCTTCTTTGCAAAACTTTCGTGAAATAATTTTTTTAAACAATTTTTCACCACAAAAAGTTCAAATGTTTATAACAAATTAATTTTTCTCCAACTTGGACAATTTTGATTTTTTTTTTTATCACAATAAATCCTTTAAATTCTTCTGATGGTATCAAAAGTAGATTTTGAGTTATAGAATTAAATAGCATTAAAAATTCATTTCATTGACCCTTACTATGCGCGCGCGAAGCGAATTGACGCTCGTTAGAGTCGTTGGTCGGCGCACGCCCTGAGACCGGACGCGCGGACCGTGCATGATGATCTTGAATATTCTATAACTCAAAAACTAATTTTGATCAATCAATCAATAAAAAGGCAGTTCATCAAAAATTCAAAAAATCATAACTTTGTCAAAAAAAATTTTCTGAGCCATATAAAAAAATATAATACGTGTCGATTTATTTTCGATAAAGAGCATGAAAAAAATATCTCATCGAATTTCCCAATATCGACTGTAAATCTGATATGGAATCACCCATATATATATTTTTTATCTTTCCTATGACAGCTACATGATAAACTAAAGCTTATATACCCTTGCAGTCATCAAATATGTCGAACAAAATACGTAAAGGCTAAACAACATCGAAGCTATGACGAATTTTCTATTAATTTTCCATATTTTCGACTATTGATCATATGGCAGCTATGTGATACAGTTGTCCGATTTTGATGAAATTTAATCAAAAGTCATTAGAAAACTTAATATACCAAAAATCATGATTGTCTGATGAAAAGAAACGATGTTATAATTTTATTTCCGTTATTTCTATATAGATTTTTCGATATTTCCTATGGCTATATGATAACGTTGTCAGATTTTAATAAAAATTTTTTCTCGATTCAAGGGTTATTAAAACAGCCCATATTTTGAAATCATGCTCGTGGGATTAAAAACAACGATGCTATAATTTTTTCCATTATTTATACAAGGTGACAAGAAATAACCCGGGCAAATTTGGAAGCAATGGATTACAAATATGTAATGGGGCAGGCCTTGCAGAAATGGATTTTTCAATAGCTTTTGGCTTTTCTGAAACAAATATATTACCCTTTTTGCGATTTCGATCTACAGTAGAAGCGACAGTATAACGACTTTCAAGGGACCGACGAGGTTTCGTCGTTATACCCGGAAGACGCACTAAGCTAAAGAATATAAGTGTATAAGTCTGTCTGGGGACCAATCAAGCCATCGAGTTTTCGTCGCAATACCCGGAAAGGCACTATAGGCGGAGTCGTTATAACAGGATTCTACTGTATTTGATATTTGTTTTAGGATATCTAACAAGCGTTGTGCAATTTTAAAACTGCTACAACAAGGAAATCCCCCAATGCGACTTTGTTGTCTCTGACGCTATCCCGCGATTTTATGAGTTTGACCATGAAGGTGACCTTCCCGGACGAGGCAGACCATGCACCGCCAACACTTCCCAAATTCGCCAGATCGTGAAAAAGCGGATCACCCGGAATTGCAGTGTCTCGGTCAGAAAAATAGCCCGTGAAATCGGAGTGAATCGATAGTGTTCGGTTGATTGCCAAAAATTAACTTTATCCCAAACCCTACAAGCTCTAAAATGTGCAGCTTCTTACGGATGACAATAAGCGCGTGACACAACAGAGATGCCGTCAGCTGAAGCGTCGGGCCGCAGGTCAAAACTGGGAAAGTTTTCTCTTCATGGACGAGAAGATATCCACCATCCAACAGGCACACAGACACCAAAATCAGCTGAAGCTCCAGGCACCTCTGCAAAGATAGTTATCCGATTTTGATCAAATTTAATCCGAAATTCAATAACAATTCGAAAACGCTTTCTTGAAAAAATCAAGTCGATCTGATCAAAAATGACGGCGTTAGAATTTTTTATTTCATTCTCTCTTATGGGAGCTATCCGATATAGTCGGCCGATCCGGCCCGTTCCGACTTAAATACTGCGTGCAATAACTACACACCTTTTGGGAAAGTTTCAGCAAGATAGCTTCAAAACTGAGAGACTAGTTTGCGCAGAAACGGACAGGAGGACGGACGGGGACAGACGTACTGACGTATTTGGATTCTGATCGTGATGCTGATCAAGAATATATATACTTTAGGGGATCTGAGGTGTCTCCTTCACTGCGTTGCAAACTTCTGGCCAGAATTATAATACCCTTTGCTCTACAAGGGTAAAAACACCATCTGAAAGAAATGGTCCGGGCAGCCGAGTTTGTGTTGTTACGGTTAAGTGAGCGGTAGAGCATAGAAATTATGGAGTTTGAAAAAAAAAAAAAACAGTTTCTTTTTCTCGGGGAGCCTGGGAATCTATCCTTTATATCCTTTATTTGATCTTGCAAACTTCTGACTGAAATTAGAACACTCTCTGCAAGGGTATAGAAATTAAAATAACAAAAACGAAGGCGGAATCTTTCTAAACAAAATTATTGGCTAACATAATAAAAAACCGAAATGAAAGTTAAACTTAAAAAAATACTACTAAATGGGGCCAACAGCTTCTTATTGCATTGAGTTCGATTTAACCAAATGCGATGCTTCTATTGCAGCTTCTGTCCACCATTTCACCAATTGATTTCCTCTTATCGTTTAATTACAAAACAATTTGCCGCTCCGCTATCGGCAGTTTCCTTTTGTTTACCGCGCAATACGACGCTTTCAACGGTCAGCTTAAAGAAAAAAACTCGTTGAAATTGTGCAAAATTTTAAAATATGAAGAAGCTAATTTTGATCAGGACGCTTCGGCACTTGTTATCGTTATTTTAGTTTTAAATATTAATTTAAATTAAACTTGATTGTGTTGTTCAAGACAGATGGCTTGGGCCAATAATTCATACATTCGTACTTGTTTAGATCGAGTGCAACAACGACTTTTCTTCGACAACAGCACTCAGCTATTTCCTTAATTTTTGTTCGAACTATGTACATACGTGCAATTTTAAAACAATATTTGTATGTATGTACATATGTTATTTTCCTGTTGTACATATTATAACATCAACCAAAAAGTCAATGTTCTTGACAAAACAATGGCCAAACAACTCCCTAAGGTATACTATCGATGTACATATTAATGTATAAATGTAGTGTCTATTTTGTATACAAAAATCAATTTAAAAACCAAAAAATTTTGGCACATGTCCATAGTACACATATGTATGCAGGTATGTAGGCCCGTAATTCTTTTAGTAATAGATATAGCATTTTTATTCGTATAACACCATTTTGAAACTCTAAAACTTAAAAACATGTATGTATACGTTTACGCACACAACATATGTTTACTTTCATATTCCATAAAGGTAGAAAGAAGCGACAATACATTTTAAATTTAAAGAAGTTTGTATGAATGGTAGGAATTTTAACACAGCACTTAAGTATAATGTTAGCAAACTCATTGAATATACATTTTATTTAGAAAAAATGCTGTAGGTAGCAAACGATGAGTTTTAAAACATGTATTAAGCGCTGTTTAAATGCATTAAATGCGGACTTACATTACTTCTTTATTGTTGATATTTCTATAATAAAAACAAAACAACAAAGCAAATCGTTTCTCAGAAACTATGGAAGAGTGGAACGATTTTTTTGTACATTGGGTATATCATAACACGTAACGATTTTTGTCTAATACCGTATTCCGACACAAGGTGCTTGCAGTGGTATGCTTTCTTGTATAATAATTTTGAATTTAGGTCGAACACGCCGCGTATGGCCACACAAATCGGAAATCTACTAATAGAATGGATTTTAAACTAATATTTTAAGCAAAGCATATATACATGTGTTTCCTTTACCATTCGCGATAATTTTTCTTAAATTTCTCTTGTGTCAAACAGACAACGATAGATAAATAAATTACGATATATTCCGAAAAATAACAAGGACTCCACTTTTGCCTACTTACAGTTTTAAATGCAAAATCATTTAGTTTTCGGAAACCATTCTTGCAAGGTGGCATTCATTTCGTATGAACTCCACCACTCCCATTTTTTTTTACGAAGAATGCTTCCTTGTTGTTATTTGTTGAATAAACATTTATCATAAGCAATGAACAATACACATGATTTGCTGTTTTATTCAATATAAATGTGTTCCCTCTTAGCAATATTTTTTTCTGTTGTCTTCTCGACATCTTTGTTGATGACGCTTTTTTAATTGCTTTAAAACAGGGGTGCTCAAATTCGTCTTATGGCAGTGCGTTTACTAACACACCCACAAGAAAACGTGTACATATGTAGCGGCGCGTTTGTGTTGGGACGCAGCTGTGCACTAAGGCTTCGGCCACGCATTGAGCGATGAGCGACCGAGCGACGCTCTCTCGAGCGACGTAAAATAGTAAAGCTTATGAAAATGCATTGGAGTGGCCACGCAGCCGCTGAGCGACGAGCGAAGTTCTTGAGCGTCAGAGCGACGTCGCTCAGCGCTAGAATTGGTTTTAATTTTTAGTGCATCGCTGAGCGACGAAATGCAAACAATGCAAAAAATATGCGCGGAAACTTTAATTTCGGCTGTTCAAAGCCGAATCGTTTTATGGAACGACACTCATAAAGTGTACAAAAATAGAAATACATAAATGTATATAAATAAAATAAAAATAAAATCAATCGATTAATGGGATGAACGCCAAACCTACGCCTTTGTATTCTTTTTAATTGCCTATATTTACTATAACGGCTTTCAAACAGATTTCGTAGAACCTCTCTAGAATAAGGCAATTTTAAAATGTTTACAACTAATCAACTCGAGTGATGTCGCTCAGTGCGTGGCCACCTCCCTCAAAGCGATCGCTCATTAACGTCGCTCGAGAGAGCGTCGCTAAGTCGCTCAGTCGCTTATCGCTCAATGCGTGGCCGAAGCCTAAGAGAAAAAAAAAAAAGTTTTAAATATTTACTACGAAGCATATTACGCATTGTACTTCGCATTTAAAATTTATGCTAAAAAAACTGCTCTCTAATTCATCACTCATTTTGATCCGCCAAAAAACTTAACATAACACTAACGATGGTCCACCACGAAATAAATCAAAAGCCAACGCAGACAGAAAAATAAGTTTCAGTGCATGTGCTCGAGGAAAAAACAAAAACAAAATACATTGCGTTCAGCGAAGCGTGACGACGGATAGAGATGTATTGAAGAAACAAGCAAAATTGTTTTTGTTTCGCATGCAAATCGAAGCCCATATGCACGGTGCTTATGCGCGCACTACCCATAAGCACAGAGCATCTACAAAAACAAAAGTGCACTCAGTGTATAGGCGTTGCACCCCTGCTTTAAAATTATACGCTATTTTTGGAGGAGGTCGCCAGTACCTAGTCAGGGTCTCGTAGTTTAACACTTCACATTGTGTACGCTCTTCGCACGAAGCTACTCTCCTCCTTCTTTATCTTCCTTATTTCGTGTTATATGTTCAGCCAAACTACATTATAAGCATTCTCCAAACAAAGCAGAAAAAAAACACGTTCATTTGATTGAATTAAACATGCTGTTCGGTTATGCCGCATCCTAACTCAAATCATTGAAATTAAAATCTTAACGTAAATTAAATTCTCGATGTTTGGCTTTGTTTTTCTATTTGCCCTGCGCGGCAACACTATCAATAATTGTAATTGATAGCTCCTTTTGAACTTTTTGTCGATTTTGTACTCGCTCGCAGAAGGCACGATCGCTGATCGCCTTCCTCTTCTTTTTCGTTAACATATGTACTTCGCTTTTAAAAAGGCACTGACAAATCGGTCTGCCTGACCAACATACTTTTACTAGTAAAAAGGCTTAGGAAAATCGGTCTGTCTGCCTTACCAAATATAAAAAACATTTACCTTGTTAATTAAGGCGTTGGTGCTATTTAAATAAATAAGTACAATAATAAGTGAAAATTTGTGCGGTTTATTTTATTTGGGCACCCCCAAAGGTTATGGTAAGTGAAAAAGCTCACTGACCCAACATTTTTGGTGACCCCGACGTGACATAAAAGCAATGGAAATTCGAATAATCAAAACTAAAGTGCAACCAAAAAAATATTTTTTTTATTTTCGTTCGGTTAAAGTTGGCGATCGCGCATGGTATGTATATAACTGGCATGTTCTATGTATTTACATAAGCGCAAGCTGTAAAATATAAACTCCGATTTTCGTTTCCTATTTGTGCCTTCGTTCATTGCCTTTATTGCATATATGCAAAAAGACGCACATAAATTCCGCTAGTTTTTTCGGTGGTCAAGAATTTTGGCGCAAATCATTGCACAGTGCAATATAATTAAAAATAATAAAACTAAATGACTAAGGAGGAATTGGAACTTCGTGTTGGACGCCTGGACGAGAGCAAAGCTGCATTTGTCCAAGTCCATGACAACCTTGAGGAGCTGGATTTAAACGAAGGTTCGCGATTACTTTGAGGAGCTAATAATCTCCGAAAAATTAAGTTAAATCGAGAATTGGGTAAGATCTCATTTACCCGAATTGATATTGCCTGAATTTTCTGGTGGCTATACCGAATATTCCGACTTCAGTCCATGTTCAAGGCCATCATCAATAACGACGTTGAGCTCACTAATATTGAGAAGCTGCAGCATTCAAAAGTCTTGCCTGAAGGGTTCCTCTTTGGATACAGTGCGCTCGTTGGAAATTTGTGAAGATAATTATGCTGTAGCCTTGGATTTGTTGAATAACCGTCTCAATAATAAGCGTTTCAGCTTCCAACCTTACATAATAACAATTTTGTGTCTCCCTAAAGTGGACATGCAGTCTGGTACGAACCTAAGAGATATGTCGGACATAATAAATGCTAATCTACGTGCTCTCCAGTCAATGGGTTCGGTTGAGAAAATTTCAAACTGCGTTCTTGTACATGTCTTACTGCAGAAATAAGATAGCAAAACTCAGGTCAATTTTGAAGAATCTGCCGCGTTTGATGAAATCCCTTCGATTGATCAGTTCACTACATTTTTGTCCAAGTGTTGTCAAAAATTGGAAAATGTAGAGCACACTGCAGCTTTGTACTCAAATGGTTCACAGTCAGGAAAAACCCGCAACAAAAGCATCATAGTTGCCACCAACACTTTGGGACATGGATCTGTTGTGTGTGACAACAGTGATCACTCGATTTATAGCTGTGGTCACGCCAATCTGTCAATACAAGAGTGCAAAAGGCAAATGGATTGGCGTATTGTTAGTTGCTTAAAGAAGGGGCATCAAATGCGCAATTGTGGGTCAGGCTGCTGTCGAATTTGCGTGTCTAAGCATTATAGCCTTTTGCAAATTAAGCCAAATTGCAATTGCTTCAAGCCCTTCTACCTCTTTGCTGGCTCAAAATGTGGATTCTGATATTGGCTTTCTTGCAACTGCAGTCATAAGCATTCAAAGTCGATCAGGTGCTTGGCTACCATGCTCGGGATCACAAGTTCCCAACTCACTCACCAGTTGCAATTGCCTAAAACGAAGTCAACCGTATCAGTTGCTGGTCTTGGATATGCTCGATTTGGCTCTGAAAGAGTTTCAGTTTGCATTAAGTTAAAGTCGCCTACCTCCGATTACTTCGCATGCCTATCTGCTCTTGTTGCTTCAGCGATTACTGACAATCAACCCAATTTGAACGTTAAGCCTGATAGCTGAAATATTCTCTCTAATATTCAGTTGGCTGATTCTGAATTTTATAAAACAAAGCGTATAGATCTTCTCATTGGAACAAGCATGCTTTTTGAATTATTATCTGTAAGACAGACTAAGTTAGCTGCTGGGTTACCCCTATTGCACAAAACGAGGCTTGGTTGGGTCGTAACAGGAGGTGAATCTTCTCCTATCAAGGCATTACAGACATTACATTACAGAGTCAAGCTATGCAGCGTGAATTGGTTGCCGTTGAAGGTCGTATGGATGAGCTAGTCCGTCGCTTTTGGGAGGTTGAGAATTGTGGTGAAGGCGTGGTCACAGCCACCAAAGAAGAATTGGAGTGTGAGGCTCATTTCATGAACAATTTTTGTCGTTTAAACTCTGGTGAATATTCCGTACAATTACCTGCAAAGAGCACTTAAGAATTGCTGGGTGAATCGTACAATCAAGCCAATCGTCGCTTTCTCAATTTAGAGAAAAAGCTAGAGTGCAAACCAGAAGTCAAGATTCCATATTCGGTATTCATTCGTGAATATTTGGATTTAAATCACATGTCAGTTGTGCCCAAAGACTCCTTGTGTCTTTGCATATATATTCTGCCCCACCACTGCGTTTCCAAGAAAGATAGCAACACAACTAAATTGCGAATCGTTTTTGATGGGTCTGCCAAAATGTCAAGTGGATACCCGCTGATCGAGGTTCTAATGGCAGAGCCTTCCATTTAACAGATGCTGTTCAACGCACTGGTGCAGTTTCGGACTTTCTCTGTTGTATTGACTGGTGACGTCTGCAAGATATATCGGTTTGTTCGCGTGGCTGAACCCGATAGCTACCTTCAATGTATCCTTTGGCGAGACTCACCGGACCAGGAGGTGCAGGTATTCAATCTTAATACAGTGACTTATGGAACTAAGCCTGCAGCATTTTTATCAGTTCGAACGATGCATCAGTTGGCGAGTGATAAGAAGAGCTCATTTCAAATCAGCTCCAAAACCATTTTGCGAGACTTCTACGTTGA